AGTACTCTAAACTGTATAAATAATGTAAAATTAAATTGAATTTATTAGCCAATCAGACGAACTTCTGTCTATGAACACTATCCATTTAATTTTAATCTAATCTGTCGTAATAGCGATAGATTGTGTAACGAACTTCGAATTTATGTTGACCAATCGGATTTAATAACCGAGATGCTTATTAAAATAGGGCAAAATTTAGCATCATCCTATTTCGCACAATTATTACAGATGATTATCTTAGTTGCCAGTCCTTACCTATGGGCATTACTTGGAATAGCCCTTTGTATAGGTCTTAGTGTTGTCGGGGCTGCATGGTAAAATTTTTCGTGTTTCTCATTAATTTATTTTCGAATATCTCGTTACATGAATAACATAAAACTTGCAAACTTTCATTTTTATTCCTTATTTAGGGGTATTTTCATAACAGGGTCAAGTATTCTTGGTGGTGCCGTTAAAGCACCGAGAATTAAGACCAAAAATCTTATAAGGTAAGCAAGAATATAATATTACATTGCTAAGTCAGCTTGTTTACGAATATATATCTTTCTATTTAAAAAATGTAGCATCATTTTTTGTGAAGTAGTTGCTATCTACGGTGTGATCATGGCGATCGTTTTTTCTGCAAAGTTACAAAACATTGACTCAAAAGATCTGTACACACCGTCAAATTATTTTACAGGTAATTAATTCATTTGTTACCACGTATTAAGGTATGATTATTTACAATTTTTTTATTCAAATAGGATACGCTCTCTTTTGGGGTGGTATAACAGTAGGATTTTGCAACTTGTTTTGCGGGATTGCAGTAGGTATCACAGGAAGTACAGCTGCATTAGCTGATGCGCAAGACCCAACGTTATTTGTAAAAATCCTTGTTGTCGAAATTTTTGGAAGCGTCCTTGGACTGTTTGGTTTGATCATTGGATTACTTCAGGTTTGTCTTACAATAATTTCGTTTGTGTAATCACATACGGCATTTATAAAATGGGTTGACTGATTAGTTTTTCTCTATAGACTGGTAAAGCAGGTGAATTCGCTGCTGCTAAATGATAGAAATATAAGTTAGAGTAGTGATTGTAGTCGATTAAAAACTTCAAACCTAGCCGAGTTAATAATTTTGATACAGCTTAGTCAGTTATTATTTTAAATTTAAATATATATGTTAATATATAATAAACTATATTCCGGAAACTCTCGCTAGCCACGCTCGTATTTTATGTCGTATAATGTTCAAAGTAAAATGTCATGACCAGAGTTTGGAACCGGTTTTATCATTCATATTACTATTTTTAACGTATTAAAAAATAAAATCATATGATCGACATCAATCAAACAATTGAACTTGTATTTAAGGTCCCCCCTATTAAGAACGGACCTACTTAAATAGATATGTTGGATGGGTACGTTATTGATAGGGGTGTACGAAATTGGATGCGAAACCTGTAAAATTATTGTTTTTGCATAGTAAGTACATTAATGAGTGTATAATTAATTATATATATATATTGTCTATTTTAAAGTAGGGCTGTTAATTGTCTCCAATTAGTCGACTCCGAGTCGACTTTTGTTAACTTCAGAAAGAACATGATATTATAACACTGACAAATCAAATTAAAGCTTTTTTGATTTGAATAGTGCACAATTTTTATTGAAACTTGATTTAATAAAATTAATTCTCTTGATTGTTGAAAAAAATACTTCAATAAAATAAAACTTTAAACAATTAATACGTATATTATTTGTTTGATTTAAAATATAAGAATATTTTTCAATTTTTGATAATACATTAATTGGTATAATAAAAAAATTATATACGTAAAACATAATTCGATTACATGCATAATTTTTTATAATTGTAATTATTGAGAATATAATACCATTTTCTATAATAACAGTTTTTTTTATTAATTATATTCTTTTTTTTATTTTATTTTATTAGAATTTATTATAGTATATCTAACAATATAATGATTGAAGTTTGAGTTTTATAGCTTAAAAGTAAAGTTGTTAGATTCTTACAAACAAAATCAATAATTTGAGTTAAGCTAAAAGCAAAATCTAAGAATTTTAAACTTAGTAACTTAAAATAAAAGTCAAATCAGATGCAAAGTTTTATAAAACTTTCAAAATAAAGAATAAAGATAGATTAAGAATTTTTAAAAAAAGATTAATTTTATAAAAAGAAAGTATTATATGTAATAATAGCATTACAAAAGATTTCATTACATAAAGTATTATACAGGTAAGTTTTTTAAGAAACAAAACAGCATTGATATCTTTGCATCTAATTTGCAAAATATTTAATTTAAAAATAGTTAAAATTGAAGTAATAAGCAATATGAAGTATGCAAAAAAGATTTGTAAAAAAAAAATACTACCTAATAGGCAGTTGCATATTATAATTTTTTTTTTTTTTTTTTTTAAATATTAAGATGAGTACTTGCGACCCAGGATTTTATTGATAGTACATTCAGCTAAT